TTTAATAATTTTCATTTTGTTTAAATTTTTTGTTTTACATATTTTTATATTTGTAAATTAAGAAATTTTGATTCTATTTTTAATTAAATAAAGAAGTTTAAATTGAAAATTACGAAATTATATATTATTTTTAACCAATATACCAATTTCTTTTTTTCCCCTTTTTTTTTTATCGTTTTTCAATTTAAAATTATTTTTAAACAAATATTAATTTTTTTAATTTAAATTGAATAATATTTATATTCTTTATTTAATTTTTATAATTTCCTTTTGTTTAATTTTTAAATATTTTTAAATTTATAAATTAAGAAAATTTAATTCTTTTTTAAAAATTGAATAAAGAAGTTTAAATTGAATATTACCAAATCAAATATTCTTTTTAACCAAATACCAAATTCGTTTTTTTCCTTTTATTTTTTTCAAGTTAAAATTCTTTTTAAACAAATCTTTATTTTTTTAATTATAATTAAATAATTTTTACCCTCTTTAATTTATATATGTTATTTCCTTTTTAATAAAGTATTCTTTTTAAACAAATCTTTAGTTTTTTCAATTTTAATTAAATAATAGCTATATTCTTTATTTTGATCTTTTCTTATTTTCTTTATTTTTTGTTTTGTCTGTAATTCTTTGCTTTTTTTGTGCTTCTTCTTTAGTTTATTAAATCATTTTTTATTAGTATCGACGTAAAATAAATATTTTTTTCTTGTGTATGCTAGTTACAATTCTGTTCATTTAATTTTCTGGTATTACGTTTTATTCCTTTATCTCTTGTTGAAGGTTCTAACATTTTAATTTTTGCAGAATGAAGTACAATCTAAATGTTGAGTTGGGATTAATGGTGGGAAAAATTACTTTGAACAGTAGTTTTGATAATTTTATTACAGTATTGGAGTTGCTTGATTATCAGGATGCATATATGCTATAACAATCCTTCTTGTGGGTCATGTATCAATTGAGAGAGGTGCAGTACTCTGGACATATCATTGATGCACTACTATGTCAGCTGCTTAGGCCAGTTGATAGCGATGCCTTCCAGTTCGACCTGAAGGACAAGGTCCTCAATTTCTCTATGTTTGAGTTTGCCCAGATGACTGGACTGAAGATTACGGGCAATGAAACAGCTCAGGACGATACTTAAAGAAGTAATAGGCTGTACAATATGTATTTTTATGGACAGGGGACAACACTTCTAATGCAATACATTGGCGCAATCAGGGAGTGCGACCAAGATGTTGGACAGGTTGAAGCTAGGATTGGTCTATATCCTTAATAGCGTAGTGAGGTGTCATCACAAAAAAGATTACAATCGACATTTTTCATTTGGAAATTATTGAAAACATCGATACCTTTGACAACTATTCATTGGTCAGAGATGTTTTGAGGACACCTTACACGTCTTCATCAAATAAAATAATCAACGTTAAAATATTTTTTATATTAATAGCCCATTTGGTACGGTTTTAAATCTAATTTTAATCTAAATCAAAGTCAAACAATAAATATTAATCACATCTTTCATATGTCCCACAACTTTTTAACCATAAATTTTAAAAACTTCTATCACAATCTACTAAAAAAATTAATTTTAATCCTAACCAAACACCCTCTAAATTTATATATAATAATTATATGTGTTGTAGATTTGGGCATGTGAGACTCTCCCTCTTGGGTACCCGATTTGTAAGGTGAGAGGAGACATATTGTCTTTGGATGCATCACTGGAGAGCATCCTGAGCAGAAGATTATTTATCGGACAAACAGTTATCAGCTATCATCGACGATGCTTAGGTGAGTATACATTGGCGAATTGTATTGTATGTCATTTCAAAATCTTAGCACATGATGATTAATTAGTTGAAATTTTAATATATTATTTTGAAGTCCTAACTCAGTTGACTCCATCGACGGAGAAAGGGAGTCGAGGTTTTGTGCATAAATGAGTCGTTTCACATACTCAGGACGACCAGATATCCGATTCTATCCTGAATTGAGATCGGGTATGTGAATTGAATATAATTTATTGATTATCGTTTTGTATGAGTTAGCCTGTTTTAATTAAGTAAATAATTTTTAATGTTATTATTGTGTAGGATTGCGGTCCAGTAGATCAACGATCACCTTCGTCGATAGAATTACCTATATTGATGAGATATTCTCCCCTATCCAAAAACCTCCCACGTAGATCTCCTACACATAGTTAGAGTTATTATTTTTATAATCTGTATGTCTACTTGACAGAAGTTATAATGGGGGAGATGGGCGGGCTACAAAAATAAATGGGCGCACTACAAGAGGAGGTGGGCGCACTACGAGGCTATTTAGTAGACCTTCGGATGATGTCTCAGCGCTCCGAGGCGATATTTCAGGCAGTCGAGGGAGTGATGGAGAGAGGGTCACCCATAGTTCTGGATAGGTGATGGTACATTAGAATCATTTTTGTTATCTGTGGAGCGAGAGGAAATGGCCCGGATGGGAATGAAAAAGATGGCGAAGAAGGAGAGGATGAGGGATTGGCTCTGATGGGGATAGAAGAGGTAACGAAGGAAGTAGTCACATGGGAACGGAAGAGGTGGCGGAGGAGGAGGAGAAGAGGATGGAGGGGGTGGTCCCGATGGGGATGAGACAGGTGGCTGAGGACGAGGAAAGGACGGAGGGATGGTGAGCCTCGAGACGGAGAAGGGGATGACGTCCCTAGGATAGAGAATATACTCGGCACGGAGGAGGTAGAAGATAAGGAGAGGACCCTAGCCGTGATAAAGGGTAATAATTATATTGTTGACGTGCTGGAGCAGGGGGTCGACAAGAGGCCGAAATTGTTATCACAGTACGACATTTCTCCTTTCACAAAGAAGGTCACTCGTCGACAAAACGTACCTCAATCTCTTCCGAGAGGTGATACTAACAAGTGGAAAGTGTTCGAGATAGAGTGGAGAAGAATTATGCCCGAGTACATATTTTATGATTATAGTAAAGTACGCTACGCTTACTCATCTATACTTTTTTTAACATTTTTTTCTATTTCTTTTTTAAAGCTAGTCACGCGATAGCTTAAAAGACAATCTCGGATGTTTATAAGTGGTTTCAAGACATTACCACTTCGGGAGTGTTGTTCGTCGACAATGCAAGCAAAATAGTCATATTATTATTTATTATGTATACATAATTATTTGTTTATTAAATGAAATAACCCATTTCTTTTTATTGGTGTTTCCTGATGTAGCACATTGATCCGACTATGGACTTATTGCGATAATGGGCTCAAATATATCAGAGATCATTTGACATTTCTGATTGAGTCATATTAAGTACCAAGTTCCTACGTGTCGTTATCATTGAATATCAATTGCAATTGACCTCGAGCCCGAGGCCTCATGAAGTATGCCCGAGGTTCCTACATCACTACTGATGTGTCGTGAGGTCTGAGCTCGAGCATCAGCCATAAAACCACCCTCCTGTGGTGGTACTGGATGTGGACTCCTGTGACTTAGCAACTGAGTTAGCGTGACAATTTGTTGACGGAGTTTCTCAAAAGCTTCGGGAGTAATGACTGCTGGTAGAGGTGCTGGCTCCCCTAATGATTCCTCCTGAGGAACCAGAGGATCCTTGGCGGGGAATTGGCTAGGAACGGATAAGTTTGCCAGAAGATGTTGTGGATGTGTGTTAATAATGACTTTTGATAGAGCTTCCCACAGACTGTGCCAATGATACTACCAAAAAATGCACCTATTTATCCCTAAGCTTGATGTGCTTAATGACGGAGATTGATTGCGAATGAGTGCTTCCAATACGTGAAACAAAGGCGTCGAAGTGTGTCCTCGTCACTCCTCCGACGCTTAAGTCAGATGGAGAATTTATGCGTGAGGCTATGAATTGAAAATAATATAGAATGTACCTGAATAATAAGGCTTGGACATGTATTTATAGATGTTGGTAGCAGAGTTTTAGGATGATTGAACACATGTAATCCTCATCCTCATTATGTAAGGTATTTGTGTTACATTGAAAGTGTTCTATTTAAGTTTGAATCGAAGTATGATAAGTTTATAATGTGGATAAGAATCACTGCGAGTTATTGTCGAAGTAGGATTAATGTTTTCTAAAATGTAGGGAAAAAATAGCATTAATGGACTTACGGCCTGACCTCATTGGTGGGAAATATGTAAAAGGGGAAGGTCAGGTCATATGGAAGGTTGAGTTCAAGGTTGAGTGTCTTATGTGACATCAATGCCCATCGATCTTTTTTTTATCGAATTTCAAATCACCAAAGTAAAAAATCGGAATTACAATCATATCTACATGCTGAAACAAAATTTTTAATTATAAGAAAAAATTTAGTTGAAAAATCGGTTCATCCACTGGGCAATATAAATTTATTCAACAAAAGCAGGCCAGTCAGCAAACAGCCAGGTAAATAGTCGACTATTTTTTATGCAGATGGATTTCGTCTGAAAGAATATACATATAGATAATTTTTTTCTTGTTCATACTTAAAAAAATTATAGATTTGTTAAAAAATTATCTACATATTAATTTACATCAAAATAAGATTTATCTATTAAAACGCATACTAATTTAATGAAAACGAAATTAAACATATGTAAATATGCTTATCGATTAGAAGGGATATAGAAAAAATATTTTTTTGTTCAACGTTCGATAAATTTTTGAAGTTTTGAGATTGAAACGGATGAAAAATGAGAAAATTTTTATTTGTGTTGAAATAAATAAATAAGAAAAATTAGTTGATTTTGAATTTTTAAGTGAAAAGTCTTCATATTTTCACTTGTAAACTAAAAGAGTAATAATATCTTTTAAAGAAAATAATATTTTGTAATTGTGTAACATACACATGGATATCTTTATCTTTTAACATTCAAGAGATGATCATAAAAATATTTAATTGTTTAAAATTCAAAGTAAAAAAAAAGAAGAAGATGTTTTGGCCAAGTCTTTTTAAAACTACCCAAGAAACATGCGACTTCATTTTTAATAGGACACATCCTTTTTTGCATACGATTTAATCCCTGTTTTCTCCTCCTTCCTCATTGTCTCCTTCACTATCCCTGTTTCTCCGTCTGTGTGCAGGTTTACTCTCCCACTCATTCCAGCAGAAATGCCAAAATTTTTGTCTCCTAATAATCCCCGAAACCTCAATCCAGTAGTTTAACCCAATTCTTCGCTAAAAGAAACATGTATTACTTACAATTTGGCACTCCTAAACCCTTCATTAATTATCCCACCAATTTTTCAGACCAAAAATCTCATAAAAGATTGAGCTTTTCCCCCATACTTCCAAAAAGATTGTATTTTCTCAATAGTCCACGTGCTTTTTTGCAAAAACCTGGTTCAAATTCCAAGACTTTGTTGAATTCTGATGTTGAGAAAGAGGATTTTGTGACTAGGGTTTTAAGGGAAAACCCGAGTCAAGTGGAACCTAAATATTTGGTTGGGGATAGATTGTACACATTGAAAGAGAAGGTGAGTTTGAGTGAAAAGCGTTTTGATAACCCGGTTTTTGAAATAATAAGGAGGTTGAATTTGAAGGCATTAGTGAGTAGAAAGGAGAGTGATATTGACAGCAATTTAGTGAAGTCGGAAGGAGTTTATTTGAACGATATCCTGAGGGAGTATAAAGGAAAACTTTATGTACCCGAGCAAGTTTTTGGGATAAATTTATCCGAGGAAGAGGAGTTCAACAAGAATTTGAAGGAGTTGCCAAAATTGAGCTACGTGGATTTTCAAAAGTACTTGAAGAGTGATAAAATAAAGTTGGTGACTTTTAAGGAGAATAGTGGTAATTATGCATACAGGGATTTTGTGGTCGATTTGAAAGAAATACCTGGAGAAAAGAGCTTGCATAGAACTAAATGGTTTGTACTGTAACATAAGACATTTTGTCTTTGATTGTGTTTGGTCTGCTTGATGTTGTGAATTTTGGTTATAGGGCAATGAAGCTGGATCGAGACCAAGCCCAAGTTCTTTTGGAGGAGTACCAGGGGCCAAGATACGAAATCGAGAAGCAAATGATGGTATTCTTCTGATTTTTGTTAGCAATTCCTCTTCGAATATCTGCTCATGCCAATGGTATGCAAATATACTCTATTGACTCGGGTTGGAATTGTGTGGATGGGGAGAAAATGGGATGCTGGAGGTAAGTAGTAAAAAATGCTGTTAGAAATATAAAAGACATTTCTTTCTGGAATAGTCTTTCATTTCAGTGAGTTCGCGAGGAAGCTTTGAATCTGGTTATTATTTTGTCGCTTCTCTGTTGAGGTTTAGGAACTGCTGTCAATAAGATTTCATACTTTTATCACTCACTCTGTGTCTTGTACTAAATGGAGTTCTTCTTTTGTAAGAGAACTTGTGTGATCAAATAAACTATGAATGGAATTTATGATGAAAAGATTAGGCTAAGCGTTCAAGAACACGTCTACTATCATAACCATTAACTCACGATAGTGGATATTCTATGCATGTGATAGTGATAACTACATACCTTTCATTTTAATGTCTTAAAACACACAGCAAGCTATGTTTTTGAACGAGAAGTTAAAATTCTCATGTGCCAATAGGATGAAACACACTACAGAATAGACTACCTTTCAAGGACTTGGAATTATCATTTATTGCATGTTAGGCCCCTGTTTGGGCTTCATTATAATGTGTTTCTGGGGAAAATATATTTTGAAATAGTGATTATTTTTAAGAATGTGGGGCTAATAAAAGGAAAAGTTTTTTATTTACGTGTAATATTTTTTTATTGGAGAATGTGTAGTTAAAAGACGAGAGAGAAAAATGCATTTTGGATAAAATGGAGCCCAAACAACCTCTATGTACATACAAAATGGTCGAATTAAGCACTATGTGTGATTTTTCTTTATCACAATCATCCACCAAAGTTTAAAAGCACATATGGTCTACCAAGAATTTATTATTAATTTGCAAAGTGTTCTCCTCCTTTTTTGCTTTTCCCTTCTGTCTGACAGTTAGTTTTGTTTTTATAGTCCTATGTAGGAAAATTGCCAGAATATCCTCACCCAGTGGCATCTAAAATATCGAGTAGAATGATGGTTGAACTTGGAGTGCTGACTGCTGCAATGGCTGCAGCTGCAGTTGTTGTTGGAGGATTTTTGGCTTCTGCAATATTTGCAGCTACCAGCTTTGTTTTTGCAGCGGCTGTATACATCATATGGCCTATTACCAAACCATTTCTGCAACTAATTTTTAGTCTTGTTTTTGGAGTTCTTGAAAGAGCGTGGGATAATCTTGCCGATATTTTTGGTGATGGAGGAATCTTTTCCAAGATGTACGAACTATACACTTTTGGTGGGGTGTCTGCTAGTCTTGAAATGCTGAAACCAATTATGCTGGTATTTTTTACCATGGTTCTTCTTGTCCGTTTTACCCTTTCTAGAAGACCAAAGAATTTCCGTAAATGGGTGAGCATTGCTTCCTACAACTATTTCTGGCAGGCTAGCTATTCATGCAAAGTGACCCTCACTTCTTTCTATTTTATGCAGGATATATGGCAAGGCATTGAATTTTCTCAATCAAAACCACAAGCGCGTGTGGATGTCAGTTATACTTCTTAATTTACTTCTTGTCGCATTCCTAAATTTCCTCATAAGCAGGTATGATTTTTGGCCTTTTTAATGGAATGATTATCTACTTTCAGGGTTCCACTGGAGTCACATTTAATGATGTGGCAGGCATTGAGGAAGCAGTTGAAGAGCTCCAAGAGGTATATACTTCCGTTACATGTTTATAGTTTTTATATGTATGTACAATTTTTCATTACCCTGAAAAAATAATTACCAGTGACTTATTTCGTTCTTAGTGAAACCCTTTTTGAACATAAAACAATGACTATAACATTTCTTCCTAATAAACTTGTATCAGCTACATGAATGATGAATCGTTTTTCGCCGCTTCATTTGCTCCATCATTGCATTTGTTGAAAACTCCAATGAAATCAATTCTTTGCAACAATATCCTTTCATGTTAAGTTTGGGATACTTCTTCATCTTTAAATTGTTCAATTATCTTGCATTCCTCTTGTAAATTAGAGCTTCTATGGCTATGTGCAAGAAATACATCATCCCCAAGTAGTCATTCCCTTAATTAGTTCTACATCTTTTTCTTGGTTTTTATCCTCGTTTCTCACTGTCCATTCTGGTATGATAATGATCAATGTTAACTTTTAAATATCTGCAGTATTTGCTTTATGGAAATTTTGTCCTTTTAACAGCTGGCGAAATCCTTTCTAGACAGAAGAGGAAGAAAAAAACATCCCTTTTAACCCTCACAAGTTAAAGAAAAATTGGATGATTGTTACAAGTTTGTTAAAAGGTCGATGATTGCATATCTACTAGGGGCTGTAACTTACATTTCTTTTGAAACTTGAAAGTAGTAAAAAATCTTTGTGAATATTTGGATGAAAAATTTGTTTTACAGAATAAGACTTCTGAGGCTGAAATAGTATGTGATATATGTCCTCGTTAATTCTAGATGTAATAGAATAATTTAGCTATGTTCATTAATGTTCGACACTGATTTTTCTGTTTAACTTTCGATGCTGATTAGTTGGTGCGATACCTGAAAAATCCTGAACTATTTGATAAAATGGGGATAAAGCCTCCACATGGAGTTCTTCTCGAGGGCCCTCCAGGATGTGGCAAGGTTGGTTGTCTTTTCTAGAATCACGTTACACTCAAAGATTGATATTATTGATATTTTCTATATTGATTTCTAATATAATCACATGTTGCCTTATCAGACTCTAGTTGCCAAGGCCATAGCAGGTGAGGCTGGTGTTCCATTCTACCAAATGGCTGGATCTGAATTCGTGGAAGTTTTAGTTGGTGTTGGTTCTGCTCGTATACGAGATTTATTTAAGAGAGCAAAGGTAAACCATCCACAATTTTTATTCAGTGAAACTTATAAATTGTGAATGTGACTCATTATTTTTTATCAAACCATCAATTTGGCGAAACTGTTGAAACTTTATGCATTTAATTATTATGTCATTTAATCTTTGAAGAATTAGCTTTCCACTGGCTTGATTTATGAACGTCAATTGTTACTATCTTCTGTCTTCTTTCAGGAACATCTAACATAATTAATACTTTTATCAGTAATGTGATCTAAATTCATGTTGACAATCTTTCCACCAACGGAAAGTTTGATAGGATATGCACTTCTTTATCCAAGTCTGGTTGGACACCTTAAACTTGTATAAAAATTGAAAATATATAACCATGTATTGTTACCAACTCTGATTCTTCTTTACGCAAGATATCTATCCAGTCATTATGACGAAATTACTCAAAGATCTATGTTATGTACTCAAATATGGTCTCAAATAGTGATATTCTATTTATTATAAAGGCTATGGTGTTGGCAAGAGCATGGGTTTCTAGTATTTTGTGGGATTTCGAACTTTCACGATGCAATAGAGTGCAGGTGATTATGGATCATAGTCAAATTGGTGATACCCTTGCAGGTGATTATGGATCATAGTCAAATTGGTGATACCCTTCTCTTCTTGCAACCAATAAATATGTCATAACATCAGCAAAGTTAAAGGATTTTATGAAACTCAAAAGGGGAAATGTTAATAATGAAGGAAAAGGGAAGATTTGTACATTATTTCTACCATGAGGATGTTCGAAATTATGAGAACAGTTTTCCTCACTATGCTTTAGGTAATGAGATGATTACTTTTATACATGATAAAACATGACTTGATAACTCTTTCTACAGGTAAATAAACCATCGGTCATTTTTATTGATGAAATTGATGCCCTGGCTACAAGGTATGGTTGTTCTATATTTTCTTTCAGCTAATAGTGTGTTGGAATTTACTATAAATTTATAACATCTATGTTTCTCACGTAATTATACGAGAAAAAATTCTTGAAGGAAACCTTTTTGATCCTTACATAGTTAAATTAATATATTTAAAGCAGAGTCCAGGGGTAAAAGCTAGAGCCTCTTTGACTTTCTTTCAACATTTTCATAATATTATGAAGTTATTCATAACTTCTGATACTCCATCTGCATAACCAACCAATCCTTGCATTCCTCTGTTTCTAATATGTTCTATGTTTCGTGTATTCTTGGCCAATTTTACTATTCTCTTTTCTTATTGATGTACGACTTGGAGAATATAAATGATCCTCAATTGTTAATTATACTTTATTAATACACAGGCGGCAAGGAATATTCCGTGAGACAACAGACCATCTATACAATGCAGCAACTCAAGAAAGAGAAACCACATTGAACCAACTCTTGATCGAACTAGATGGATTTGATACAGGAAAAGGTGTCATATTTTTGGGTGCCACTAATCGAATGGATTTGTTGGACCCTGCACTTCTTCGTCCTGGTCGGTTCGATCGCAAGGTTGTACCTTTAAATAGGATTTAGAGTTATCAAAGGGTGTTTAACTCCTTATCTTCAGCAGTTATAATTTCTTTTTCAAACTATTTATCTTATAGATAAGAATCCGGCCTCCAAATGCAAAGGGAAGATTGGAAATATTAAAAGTTCATGGCCGTAAGGTGAAATTATCAGATACTGTTGAATTGACCAGTTATGCAAACAACTTGCCTGGTATGCATTCTATTTAACTGCTAATATTTGAAGAAATTATTGTGATTGTTATGTTCATTGCTAAATAATCTTCATTTCGGAACATCCTTAAATAATGTAAATCAGGGTGGTCGGGGGCGAAGCTGGCACAGCTGCTCCAAGAGGCCGCTCTTGTGGCTGTCAGGAAAAGGCATAATGCAATTCTTCAGGAAGACATGGATGATGCAGTTGACCGTCTTACTGTGGGACCCAAGCGTGATGGAATAAAATTGGGCCATCAAGGCCAATGTCGCCGAGCTACTACGGAAGTGGGGACCGCATTGACTGCTCATCTGCTAAGGCGCTTTGAGAATGCAAATATTGAGAGATGTGATCGCATATCAATCAAACCTCGTGGACAGGTCTATACCCTAGCTTTTTGGATTTTGTTAGTCTCCTAAAAGTATATATTTTTTCAGTTCTTGGCAATTTTGGTCTAGCTTACCTGTGATGTTGCACAACCTTAGAGTGCTCTTCGTGATAAATGAAAAGGGGGCATGGATTTTAGGATAGTACTTGGAAATCTGAAACTGCGAAAAAATGTAAGCACAACACAATACTCAATCCTGTTCTAAAAGTATTATCACTTGTTCACATCCATTGTAGAATTTGTGTCTTACCTTTCTTTTTGTTACTTCCGGCTTCAGTCTGGTATTGATTCACGCACTTTTTGGGGCACAAGTTGACAGATGTCTTTTATTCACTGTCATATAAAATTAGCATTTCCATACTTAGCTTTAGTTAATTTTTTGACCTGCACTGTGCTTGGATCATGAAGTTGAAACTAAAGGTCTTTATTAGGATATACTTCTAGGAGAATAATGGTTTTCTATCCAAACAATAATTAATTAATTAATTACTCTTGATGTTACATACAGACACTGTCTCAAGTTGTATTTCATCGTCTTGATGATGACGCGTACATGTTTGAGCGTCGACCTCAGTTGTTACACCGCCTTCAGGTTCACACTCGAGTTCTCTGGTTTATTTTTGTTCACCCGTGTGTTTCTTTAGCATTCAGTCATAAAAAATGTCATATCTTCTTGATAAAGGTATTACTTGGAGGCAGAGCTGCTGAAGAGGTCATTTTCGGGAGGGATACTTCGAAGGCATCAGTTCATTATCTTGCTGATGCATCTTGGCTTGCTCGTAAGATTATTACGATGTGGGTGTCCATTTGTTGCTTTCAGATGGTTAAAAGGAATTGATAAAACCTTCCTGGAACAGACCATATAAATTCTGTAATCCAGGAAAAGTATAATATCTAATTAGATACTTGTTCTTCTTGCAGATGGAATCTGGAGAACCCAATGGTGGTGCATGGAGAACCTGCTCCTTGGAGAAAGAGAGCAAAATTTGTGGGCCCACGGCTTGATTTTGAAGGATCACTTTACGATGACTACGACTTAATTGAGCCTCCAGTCAACTTCAGATTAGATGATGACATTGCAAAGAGGACAGAAGAATTAATGCATAATATGTATGGAAAGACCGTTGATTTGCTGAGACTGCATAGTGCTGCTTTGCTGAAGACTGTTAAGGTATGTAGTTGACATGCTTGATCTAGCTTATCTTCTTTCCCATCTATCTTTCCTACCTCCTTGGATGCATAGTCATAAAATAATTAGGAAGAGTTGTGATTTCCCTCTTATTCATAGCATGTCCGGCACAACATGTGGCGTTGAGCCTGCTTGGCCAGGTTTTAGCTTAACTAAACGTGTGTCGAAAATTAGGAGTTGCTTTTAAATAATTTTAGCTTTTTCTAGAAGTTACTTCTTATTGGAGATTTTAGTTCGAAAGCTTACTTCTTTAAAACTTTATTCTTGTCTCGTTCTTGTCATTAGGCTTAGCCAAACCTCTATTTGTAATGCAGGTTCTTCTTAACCAGAAAGAGATTCGCGGGAATGATATAGAGTTTATCATTGACAATTATCCTCCGCAAACTCCCACAAGTTTTATATTGGAAGAAAGAGATCCAGGGGGCCTTCCATTTTTCGAACAAAAGCAAGCAGAACTAGATAAAGTAGAATACAGACTTCTGTCTTCATGAAAAGTAGGACTTTTATCTGATAGTATGCTGTTTTCTGTGAATCCATTCTGTCCATTCAATTTGATAATTACATGGTTCAGACGAGCTCTTGGGCTGCAGAGTACTAGGTTTATCCAATCATGATCCATATGGAGAAGACGAAATAAAATCCAGGTCTTTTTTATTTAGGATGTACCATTTATTTGTAATGTTACTGATAATCTATTGTTGGATTTCATAATATCATTATTGTTGGTTTAACATAACCCGTACTATTTATGAGACTATCTCAAAACACTTTATTATATGTGCTTGTTTGGTATAGATTATAAGTCAATTAAAATTAATTTTTTGATTGTTATTTCACTGTTCCAGTCGTCATTTTTTAATTCTTCTTTCACAAGTATGATTTACCTTGAGTCTGCTTGGGAGTGATTTTGAGAATTGATTTTTTTGACCGTTAGGAGAATAGTGGGATCCACCTGTGAGAGAAGAAGTCAAATATGACGGCTGAAATAGTGAAATAACAGTCAAAAAATCATTTTTTTGGATGAAAAAATTGCTCCTAAATAGACTCTTTATCTGTAACGGTCAAAAAATCAATTATCAAAATCTCTATCAAATAAGCACTATGTGAATATGTAAATTGTTGGATGCAAAATTCCCCATCAAGACCGTTCTGAATGTTAAATGGACTTGAATTTTTCCAAATCCGCTTCGAATACATCGATAATGAGTATGAGAATCAATTTTTTTAATACTAGAGAAAAAAGTAGTCCTATATGTGAGTAAGGCTGTCAATGGATCGGATTGGATTTTCAAATTCGATTCAATCCGTTAAGAATAATTATTCGATTCGATAATATGACGGATATTTGAATGTTAAATCCAAATTCAATTAGCTGTGTAATAGAATATTCGATCCGATAACCCGATTTGAAATTAAAAAAATTAGACAAATAAAATATTTATTTATTTTTTAATTAAAAATCATAGAATCGATAAGATTTTAATTAATTATTTATTTTAAAAAATATTTGAACTATCTTGATGGGCTCACTTATTATATATTAGAAGGTTCAAATCATTTTATTTTTTTTTTATCCAAATAACACTCATTTGAACTCATTTTTCAAAGAGACTCTTCTTAAAATGTTTTAGTAATATTCCATTGTGGGATTCTAACTTTTTAAATTATTATCATCTTCCAATGATTTAGTGATCTTTCAATGTGAGATATTAATCATAATCATTTGTCAACTCTAAGTGTTTACTAGTTTACTTTATTATTTTCATTAAAAATCATAGTTTCAATAAGATTTTAATTATAAACAATATCAATTTAAACAAAGTAAATTATTTTGAACATATTAATTGTTAGTATTTTATGTTATAAAACAATTTACTATAGTAAATCTAATCAATAAATTAATTATTAGATTTATCTTATTTTAATTAATAAAAAAATTAAATCTCTTCAAAAATTTCAATTAAAAATATTATCTTCAATTAAAAATATTATCTTATTATATAATACTATTTATTATTTAAAAATTATGTGTAAAGTATAATACAATTTTCAAAATGGAAAAAACAGTGTCATAAATTATTTGATAATATAAAAAATATAATATGTTATTATAATAAATCGCATCGGGGTGTTATCGGATCGGATTAACCTATATCCATATTTGATTAATTTAATCAACAGATTATCGGATTCAGATCTCGATTGGGTTATTGGATTGAAACCGTAAATCCATCTCTCATTAATTTCATAGGTTTCAGATTATATTCGGATCAAAATTCAATCCATTGACAGTCCTACTGTGAGTGAAGAAGTCAAAAATGATGACTGACTATTGAAAGTAACGATAAAAAAATTAATTTTTAATGATGAAAAATTAGAACCAAATGGGGGCTTATATTGTTTTTATATTTTTCAATTCAAAATTGTGTTTTTATAATTTAAAAAAAAAAGAAAAAAATGAAAAATGAAAATTAATATTCAAGATCTAGGCCCCCGTTTGTTTCTCATTCTTTTCTCATTAAAATGAAAAATATTACCATTATTCATCACATCAAATCACCAAATTTGAATCCCTCTATCTTGTGTGGGGTTTATAGCGATTATATTTTCCATTCTCATTTTTACAAAAATGGTAAACAAACGCTCCGTTAGCACTGCCAACTTTCTCGACTTTTGCCGCCCTCTTGCTACCCATATGCGAGGGGCCATTGTATCCTTCCTCTGTTCCTTGACCATGATCGCTCCTGCACTTGTAGGCTGTAGCGTTGTGATCTGCCTGCTCAACTGTGTCATGCACGTTGAGAGCAAGATGACAAGCCCAGATTAACCCCGTTAATTAGGTAGTCATCGTGTAATTTTGATATCTTTTCTGGCAAAATAAAAATAAAGGGAAATTCTGACACACAAAAAAAAAAAAAATAAATAAATAAATAAAATAAAATAAAATAAAGGACCAGTAGATTTTGGTCTGTTGTTTTCTTGTTCTATACTAAATTTGGCCTCACCTGCGGCAACGAAGGTACTAGCTGCTTTTCTTCTTGTCTACCTGCCTTAATTTTTTATGCCCATTTCTGTATTTTTATTTTTCGGCTTGCCCTTTTAAATTTGGTGAATATTTGATAGTGGGTTTGTTTACATTTGGAGTTCCCAATGTTTAGGCATGTTTATTTTTATTAATTTTGTAAGTTTATTGAATTCTTTATGTTTTTAAGGTTAGAGAATATGGAAAATCTACTGGGTTTTGGCTAATTTATTATTAATGGATTTGGGGTACTAAATTGAAGTTTCCTTTCGAAATTGTTTATGGCAACTGCAAGTTGAAATTTGCTGAATCGCTTAAAATGAACTGCCCCGTTGTGTTAGCAGTTGATAATTGTATTTGCATACAAAATGACTTGGTATTCTAGAATGCGTTTTAGCGTAGCTTGTTGGTTTGTTCGTTTTCAGGAGGTTTGAATATCTATAACTGGAGCAATACTAACTCTAGTGTCTGCGCTGAGAAGTTATTATTCAACTGTGCTGTTCCTATTACAGAAATTGCAAATAGCACTCGAACCCGTGGGGCTTTCTTGGAGCTGAATGTGTCTTTGATGATTAATGATTCCACTTCCTATGATAATTATCCTGGAATACTCACTACGGGAAACAAGTGGATTAGTGGAAGTATCATCATTTGTGTTAGGTTATGATTCTTTTGTTTGTCAAGTACCACCACAAGAAGATTATAGGAAACAGAAGAACACCAACAAAACGGGAGAATTCCATTAAGTTATCCTATTCTAGACAAGTTCAAGTATATTTCAAGCCAAGAGAGGTGCGAGTAATCCAAGTCAGCTAGTAAATATCATGCGCAGGCTTGAGTCTGATGGAACACCTTATAACTATGCCTCAGCGTTCAAGGGTGCAAAAGTGGTGGCTCATAACAAGGAAGCGAAGGGAGCAAGCAATGTACTGGAAAGGATCATGATAAGTATCTCAGAAAACCAGTGTTTGGTTGGTGGGGAGTTCTTTATAATTGAGCTTGCAGATTAAACTTTGGTCGATGCTGTCAAAATTGCGATTTTTGAGCATTATTCATCTAATTTTAAAGATTTTGAGTTATCCTGGAGTTTGGTGTATCCAACTGAGACATGGAATTCCCTGGGGATGTTTGTTGCTGCAAATGTCAAGCATGCTCAATGCTTTAAGCTGCCTGAACCAAAATTGGTTAGATATTTGGACGTGGATTTACCCAGTCATTATGGTTCAGAATTTTACTGTACATTAAGTGTTGTAGAGGTGAATGGAGTTGATGCAATTGAACATATGCTTGAGTATCTTATTGTTATTTCTGGTTCTGGGGAGTCTTCTACCGTCCCCATGCCTGTGACACTGCCAGAACCAGGCTCCAGCAAGTGTGAAGCAGATGATGTTTCTCGTAACGTGAGTGTGAGTGACGCTGCCAATAGGGGAATAGAAAATGCTACGAAAGGACAAAAGCTTAATGCAGATCCAAAGAAACCGACCACTAGCAGCATCCTTGGTAAAGGGTAGGCAACAACCCAATGGCAGATTGCATGCGGATGCTGCTCTAAAATATTGTTGCAGAGGGTCAGATCGCTTGAGTTGAACTTTTCAGTGCTTGAGGAGTACATCATGGAACTTAACAGAAGGCAGGGGGTTGTTTTTCCCAAGCTTGACAAAGAGGTAGTGACATTTACATCTCTTCTGGAGTTTCAAATTGGAGATCAAGAATCTCATGGAATGTAAAGAAATAGTGATGCGTACGACCTTTTAATTAGCTACACGAGAAATTTTTGTAGGTTTTGTTTTTAACTCATTCGCGTTATATTTCTTTCATTAATGAAAAAATGCTGACCCTGAAACCTGGAAAGCTTTCATTTCATCCCGAATGGCCAGGGGCGGACCCATACGATTTGGGTTAGGAGGGTAAAAATAAAGGGTATCTTCTAATAAAAAAAACTAAGGAAAAAAAAAAGAAAAAGCTAAGCAATAATTCCCCCC